TCTTGTCAAATGTGCTTGCAATATGCTGTTCTGCAGTACCTGTTTTACAGACCAACTTCGTCTGAAATATCTGTTTTTCGATTATAAAACAAAACCTGATTTATATTATTTGTGGACATGTTATTTGCCATGCTTAGCTTTCTGATTGGCTGCTGGACACTAATGCAAAAAACAAGAACTCTGGATATGAAACAAAATTTAATGTGTGATTAATATAAAATGTTACATATTTTCTAATAATCCCAAGAAGAAGATTGTGGTAGCTTATTATCAGGTAACATATTATGACTTTATCAATCTATTTATGTCGTAATACGTTAACTGATACTAAAAAACTTGTGGCCAGTTAAAATAAGAATATATATCGCAACTTTTATGCTAAACAAATGTAATAATAACTGAATAGTGAATAAAAGTGAGAAAAATAAACTGTCTGAAAGTCAACACTTTTTAAACGTTTTGTAGCGTTGTCTGTGGCTTTTCATGCTAATACTGATTGGGCAGCCATGGCTTTAAAAGGTTTTGGATTCTCTGGTTTTGAACTCTGTTCTGTCGTTCCTCTTGGAAACAGGCCGCTGAGAGAGCATCAGAAGGGTGCTGCTTGTTAAAACAGGAGAAGAGCAGAGTGGAGGAGAGTGGATGAGCGATAGACGTGTTAATTGAGAGGGTAATATGTTTTGTCAGCAGCACCTGTCAGGTTAACGTTGCTTCAGTAGCTGCGTTTCTAATACAAATGTGCACACTTATCTTTGCTAATGTCGAAAAAACACAACTTTGTAATGGCGGTGTTTCGATTAAAGAAGAAATAAAATTAAGATCATACATGAATAAGCTTGTTAACGCAGTAAGCTATAAAAAATAATGGCAGCGACAGAGATATATTCATAATTAATTCATGGCGCTAGCACTCATCATCTGTCAGCCATTGGAGGAGATGTCGGCGTCTTATTCAGGCCCAGGCGCGACAAGCCCCGCCTACTTTGGAGTGGCTATATATGTAGCATTTTAGGGAAATTGTAGTCTGTGATTTTACATAAGAGTTATGGATTGACAAACTTTCTGATGGAGCCAGCTGCACACTGTCTGAAATAAACAAACAGGACATCCTTTGTCTTCTTCATGGCTTTCACCAGTAGCAACAACCGGC